TGTAGTCCCAGCTCTTGGGACGCTGTAAACAGGTGGATCACTATGAGTCCTATCTAGTAGTCAGACCCTGAACACCCTGTAGACCCTTCCCTAAAAATACAGAAACAAAAACAACAACAACAAAAAAAAAAAACAGGAGGATCATTACAAGTCTGATCTACATAGTGAGACCCTATAGACCCTGTAAACCCTGTACTAAATACAAAAATATAAATACCTAAATAAATAAAGCTCTTCTATATTTACCCAATCTGTGGTATTGTGTTATTAGCAACAGAAAATGGACAAGACATAGATGTACATATAATACTTCTAAATGCCCTAAAGACTATTACAGGGGTTGGAGAGATGGCTCAGTGGTCTAAAGCACCTACTTGGAACAAGCTTGGCAAAGCACAGGGACCGCGGTTCAATCCCCCAGCACCACATGCCAGCCAGCCCTGCCCCCAGGTGGGCTGAGCTGGCCACACACACACACACTAAATAAATGTAAAAAATAATAATAAATTTAAAAATAATAATAATAAATAAATAAATTTCTTTTAAAAAAAGACTATTACAGACATTTCTAATACAAAAAAAAATTTCAAAGGAATGTTAATGTATATATGTAACACAAATGACACCTTATTTTTTCCTTGGAAGTAAAAATAAAAACCCTAGGAAGCAAAATGAAGGGAGAGATCTCATCATAAAAGAAGATACACTTCAAAGAGGTTGCGATAGATATATAGTTGCATTCTCTTAATGAATAGAATGATTTGTTCTAATGGTGTTTGTAAATAGGATCACAAGTCCACATCTTGTACAGCAATTAACCACTAAGAAGAATATATGCAGTGTATTATTTGTTGAAACTGTACTTCCGATTTGATTTGAAACTGTCTCATTGCTGTTTATCAATAAAACCTTGAAAAAAAATAAAAATAAAAAATAAAAGAAGATACAAATAAAACCAAGATCACTAAACAGAGATTCCCTCAATGGATGAGCCAGGAAAAAAGGGTAGAAAAATCTCATAAAGGGAAATGAAAGAGACAGATGCCTGGTCCACCTAGATTTAGATTTAAATTCCTTTGGATTTAAAAGAAAAACATAATATGAAGCAAAAGTGAAAACCAAATAGACTGTATTCACAAAATTTAATTTTATAAAATAATGTCAAAGTCTCCCAGACACAATGATGCAAGGATGTGGGAGACTGGAGCAAAAGGAGCCAGTTCAAGGCACAGCCTAAACAATCTAGCAACTTAGTAAAATTTCTGTTTCAAAATAAAAAACAGGGGGCTGACCAAATAGCTCAGTGGATTAAAGTCCCTGCAAGCAGGTGCAGGGGCCAGTTTGACCCTGGGCCTGCCCCCATGCCCAGGGCTTGCTGAGATGGCAATTGAAAGTGGGCATGGCATGCGCCTGTAATCTCAGCCCTTGGGAGGCTGTAAACAGGCGGATCACCATGAGTCAGATTTAGTAGCGAGACCCTGAACACCCTCACCCTATATACCCTTCAATAGGATACAAAATAATAATAATAATAATAATAATAATAATAATAATAATAATAATAGATAAATAAATATTAAAAAAACAGAAAAAAAGGCTGAGAACATAATGGATACCAAACCCAGTTTAAAGGTCTTGGGAAAGCTGAGATAAGATAATCAGAGCAAGTTCAAGGGCAGCCTGAACTGTATAGTGAAACCCTGTCTCAAAAAGACAAAAAAGGAGGGACCTGCCCCTTAGCTCAGTTCTTTAAGTGGCTGCTTCAACAAAGCAGTCAGGCTCAGGTTCCTGTGGTTGATCCCCCACAACTCAAGCCAGCCAAACATGCCCTGAAGGCATTTGGAGCAAAAAAAAAAAAAAAAAAAAGACAAAAAAGGAAAAAATAAATAAATAAAAGGAGACAGAGAGAGAGAAAAAGTCTATCTGTGGGGCTAAACAGCATACATCTCATAAAGGAGGTACTTTTAAAACATTTTAATACTCTTAAATTACTTTGAAGTTATAAATATTGATAGGGTTTGTTTCATTTTAATTGTTGTTAAAATTTCTGGGTAAACAGAAAACTCAGAACCAAGTAGAGGGAAACAGTAGAAGGAAGAAAGTTCAATTTATCTCAGAGAAAGCAAATGAAAAAACCAAACTGAGGCAACAAATGAGGTGTAAAAAAAGAAATTTCTCAGTATTCAAAAGACTGAGAGGGTAAAAAAGCAGATTGTCACATTTACTTTTTAAAAGTAATCTAGGGGCTGGTGAGATGGCTCAGTGGTCTAAAGCACCTACTTAGAACAAGCTTAGCAAAGCACAGGAACCGCGGTTCAATCCCCCAGCACCACATGCCAGCCAGCCCTGCCCCCTGGTGGGCTGAGCTGGCCACACACACACACACACAAATAAATTAATTAATTAATTTTAAAAAAAATAAAAATAAAAAAAAATAAAAGTAATCTAACTGCAAAAAATAAAAATAAACTAACTTATGCTGTTTACAGGTGACAAAGCATTAACAATTCAGAAAAGTTTAAAGAAAAAACAATGGAAATAGTTGTACTACACCAGGCAGGTTAACCAAAAGAAATCTGGCACAGCTATATTATTATACAATAAAACACATATTAAAGCAAAACAATCAGGGAAAAAAGCTACCAACTGATGAGCATCTTTACTCCAAAAAGAATGATGAGGGCTGGTGAGATGGCTCAGTGGTCTAAAGCACCTACTTAGAACAAGCTTAGCAAAGCACAGGGACCACGGTTCAATCCCCCAGCACCAAATGCCAGCCAGCCCTGCCCCCTGGTGGAACACACCACCACGCCCAGTCTCAATTGCCCATCTCAGTGCAGGGGGCGGGGGGCACACAGCAGGCTGGGGATCAAACCCCAGCCCCTGAGCCTGCTTGCAGGTGCTTTAATCCGCTGAGCTATTTGGCTGGCCCTTACCCCTTGAATCTTGAAAGATAGTCAAGAGTAGTCTGCCAGAAGAAGGAGACGATGGAATTAGCAAAGGCACAAAGATATAAAACAGTATAACCTATCTGGAGTAAAGCCAACAAAGTACTGTTGAGAAATGGCATGCAAGGTGTTATAGGATCTTAAAAGTCCCTGAAAGGCCCATTGGTAAAAGTTTGGCATTACTGGGAAGTGGAGCTATCTCCTCAAAGGGAATAGCAGAACATCAGCTCCTTCTTCTTTCTCTTTTGTATTGCTGTCATCAGGTGAGCAGCTGTACTCCATCACCCACCCACCATGATGTGCTACCTTGACACAGGCCCAAAAGAAACAATCATAGACTGAAAACTCCAAAACTAGAAGTCAAACAAACCTTTTTTTCTTTAACAGTTGATCATCTCAGGTATGTTGTTATTATGACAAAAAGCTGACTAACCTACAAGGCTCCTGATACAAAGGGGAATGGAAGAAACAAACAAAAGAAGATGCCTAAGGCATCATCAAAGTGACACAAAGCAAAATAGAGATTTAAGCAAAGAAGTAACACAGAGTCAGAAGATTCAATCAAGCACACAGATAACAGACTTGAAAGGGCCAATTGGACAAAGTATCAGAAACTTACTACTTTAGCTCAGAAAAGTAACAGAAATTTAAAAATTTAACTATATAGTTAATATAGTTAACTATATTTACTATTGTACATCAGGCATTGTGCAAAGTGCTTTACTTAACATTATCCATTTAACATTCGCAATAATTCTACGAAGTCAGAACTATTCTATTTTATGGATGAGGAAACAGAGGCAGAGAGAAATTAAGTAACTTCCCTAAAAGTTATATAGCTAGATCCAAACCAGCTAATCTAACCTCAGACCCTGGATATACCACCAGTGTGATCAGAGAAACAGACTCAAGACTCATTTATAAGATAAAATTCAGCTGTGCTTTGAAAAAAATTTTTTTTTCCTTTTTCAGGAAGGTGAAATGGAGAAAGTATCTCACTTGAATGAATGGCAATTAGAGTTGAAACTACTAAAGTCCTTAAGGATCACTCAGCCATTACCCAGACAATGCTAAAATTTCTTACCATCCCTAACAAATAGTTGTCCAGCCTATACTTGACAACACAACAAATATCTGAATTAAGCAAAACTCTGTCTCCCATGACTAAGTTTCTACAAATTTTTTTTTTAATGTTAAGAGGGTGTGTGTGTGTGTGTGTACTGTGTGTGTGTGTGTGTGTATTTTAATGCTGAGAGTTGAAAAGGTTTTTTGGTACTTTACCCACTGACTTTCACACAGGTATTTTGTTGTTGTTGTTGTTGTTGTTGTTGTTGTTGTTGTTGTTTTTGAGGGGGGACCTTTTTAAAAAAAGGGTTTCACTATGCAGTTCAAGCTGGCCTTGAACTCACCTTGTATCCTAGGCTGGCCTCCAACTTGCTGCAAGGGGTGTGTTGGCATATGCCTGTAATCCCTCACTTGATTTTCACAGTTATATGCAGAATTCTAGAACTCCTCAAGGAGTTCAGGATTACCCTAGGCTAAGCATCTGCCTCCACTCTCCTGCTATAACCATATAGCATCAATTTTATAAAACTCTTCTGCTGGTATATGCTTAAAGTAGCATTAAAAAAAAAAGTAGTATGTTTTGAAAAGGTTTAACAATCACTGGTCCCCATCAACAGCCCTATAGTATGAATGCCAAAGGAATATGAGGTTCAGTAAGTGTGAACTGGTCAAAGTCACATGGTTGGGGCTGGAGACATAACTCAGTGGAATAAGAGCTTCCCTGGCAAGCACAAGGGCCTGAGTTCAATCCCCGGTTCAAAAAAAAAAAAAAAAAGCCACATGGTCAAAAATCAAACACAAGCAGTCAAACAGCAAAACAATCCTTCACAAACAGAACTATCCCATTCCTCTCTGCCATCTTTTGTTTCATCTCCCATTCTTCCTTCTCTAAAGCTTATAACAAATTTTCTGATCAAAGTTGACTTAGCAGTAAAAGAAAGCATTCTGCACACTGGAATAAGGGCCCCAGGAGTACTATAAACTCACGCATTTCTATGAACAGCTGCCTCTTCTCCGCCATGGTCTTCCACTTGTTCCCACCTTCTTCAATCATCCTAGAGACAATGAAAGACATAGTAAACCATAATTAAACCATGCTGCTTATCACTGTGTTGTGAGAAAGTACAGGAAGGCAGGATAATTGTACATTTTAGACAGTAAAAATACAAATGAAGACAAGCCATTGTCCCTTTATTTGGCAGTTTCTAAAATATTGTTTAGCTTCTTCTGTATAAGTTTGCAATACATAACAATTATATTCATCTTGGGAAATTTATAGTAATTATAACATCTTGGAGAAATAATTATATTCATCTTAGAAAATAATAATTATATCTTAATCATTTTTACTTCCCCTTCCCTTTTCTGCCCTCCTTCTTTCATTCCCAGATTCACTTCCCATCTCTACAAAGTCTACAGTCAACACTTAATTTTTTTTTAACCAGAAATTAAACTCAGGACCTTGAACTTGCCAGGAAGACACTTATGCCACTGAGCTATTTGCCTGTCACTCTACAGTCAATATTTAAATGGCCTTGTACATTTGTTTCCTGTGCAGGAAATGTGCTGGGGCCAGCGAGATAGCTAAGCAGTCTAAAGAGCCTGCTTAGGCAAGCTTAGGTAGGTGCAGGGGACCACAGTTTGATCCCTGGCATCTGCACCAACCCCACCCTCAGGATGGGCTAAGCCACCCACCCACCC